AGAAAACAATTAAGACCTTGTCACACCAGTGTGGAGTCGAAAGCCCTATGATGCCTATGGTGGACTTAACCGAGGAGAATGAATTACGAACTGTGAGTTTCTTGGCTAAGGACCAATCACCTTTCCATGGAAATGAATATAAGCAGTGTTAGCCATGGATTTGAGGATGATAGGGCATGTATGGTGCTTATGCAGTCGTTGATTTGAACACCATGTTATGTTATCCTACAATTGACTTTCGGAGACGTGATGAAGGGTTGGTTTGGTATTACTGTGCTTTGAATAAAAAAACTACTTCTACTGTGTTGTGAGAATAAGTAGTTGTGAAATAAAGCAGTAGAGTGTTTGGTAAACTTTTTTGTAAAAGTGCTTTTGAAAAAAAAAAAAGCAGTATTATAGTGTTTGGTAAACTTTTATGTAAAACAAATGTGAAAAAAAACCAGTTTTTCAAAGCTGGGTTTTGCAGCTTCTTGTTTTTGGCTTTTTTTTCACCCAAAACTGTGAAAAAAAGCTGAAGCTGAATGTTACCAAATACAAAAACAGCTCCGAGTTTTTTTTTATACCAGCTTTTTTCATAATCACCTCAGTACCAAACCAGGCCGAAGGGCAACAATTAAAAGCCACGTTTAGGGATAGCTCTTAATAGCATTATAAATTATGGCATATGTATGGGGTCATGATTTATAAGGACTGTTATCCATTAGAGATCACGTTGGATCTTCCCTCATTAGGCCAACGTCTTGGTTAATGTGAATCCATCAAGCAACGTGTGAAGAACATGCTGGTTCGGCAGAGATGTCACCTATGTTGGGCGTGATTTACTGGGAAATATCCCTCGTTGCATTAAATGATCAACCTATGCGAGGGTCAAGAGATAGAGAATATGGACAACTTTGTCAACTAAGATTGCTTTAGTACATGTAGCATCCTCTATAGGGTCGGTGAAATTTGGTCACCTAAACATACGACTCCAACCAAGGAGGATTTTTCTTAACTATATATCAAAGAAAAGATTGCTAAAGTATGAGAAACAGTATTACATTACCAAGATACATTAGATAAAAGGGTAAATTGAAACCCTAGCTTTCAGTCAAAATCTCCAATTTTCATTTTTTTTCGTTGATTCCTCTGAAGATTTAGGGTTTGGTAATCTTTAGTTTGAGAAAAAGTTAAGTCATACTTAGAGAAGGGAGAGAGAGGGGACACGACATAGAGAGAAAGATAGAGATGGAGATCATAGGTTTGAGGAATTTAGGATTGGGTGCAATGTGCCTCATAACGCTATGCAATATTACATATCCGTATGCAAAAAAACTGGAAGCTTGGTGAGCTCACTACCAAATGTCTGCATGATCATTGAAAGCAAATAATGATCGCTTTCTACGAGACTGTGGGTGTGAACATAGGGAATCAATATGTTCAACCCAAGGGAAATGTAATAATCATTAAATTTTCGATATAAACTCTCTGAAATTATTTAGTCTTTTTGACTTTATGGTAATCGGGGTGGTGAGCCTGCAACCTAATAATTGGTGCCAAGAGTCTAGCAAAGCAGCGTTGGGTGTGGACAAACATGTGAGCAATGTGTAGATATGTCAACCAAAATCATAAGATAATTAAATGGTACACATTTTGGTTAGATTAGTCCACAAATATTTTCTTGAATCTGCTGTAGAAATGTCACATCCCGGCCCGGGAAGGACCACTTCCCGGGCCCTCTCCACCACCGTAGCATGATATTGTCCGCTTTGGGCCCTGACCATGCCCTCACGGTTTTGTTTCTGGGAACTCACACGAGAACTTCCCGATGGGTCACCCACCCTGGGAGTGCTCTCGTACGCTACTCGCTTAACTTTGAAGTTCCCATGGAATCCGAAGCCAGTGAGCTCCCAAAAGGCCTCGTGCTAGGTAGGGATGAGAATATATATATAAGGATCACTCCCCTGGACGATGTGGGATGTCACAAGAAAGATGGAGGATCCGTAAAGACCATAGGCGAGTAATTGGTTTGTGTATTAATGATCTTAGTAACTAGGCTAAATAGTTTGCTCAGTGAAGATTGGTGAGCATCCTGGCCAAGGCATGCTTTTAGGTACGATATCTTTACTTCTGGTAAGGGGATGTACTATACTGCAAATTACTAATCATCCTGGATGCCCCAAACGTTTGTGCCACATCAAGAATTCCTTTGGGGTCTCAAACTTCTAGCCGGCCACATACTGGGCCTTTACAATGTGAATGGTTGTGATGTACAATCTATTGGGGAGGCGTTCCATCTTTTCTAGAATATGCTTCCAGACCATGTTCGTAGGAAGTGGTACAAAAAGGAATTCTACTCCATTTTCTAGTGGTTTCCATGTGATGATAGTTTTCTCGAATATCCTTAAAGCTCAAAGGCATTCTTCTGGAACCAATTGAGTATAAGGCTTCCCTTTATGGAAAAATTAGTATCATTGGATAACATCATATATGCATTGCCATGCCCATAATTAGGTTGGATAGGCCTGAAAGGGTTGTCATAGGGGGTGATTAGGTAAAAACTTAGCATATGAAACCAAACAGCTAACTTTTCCACAAAACATACCTAAGCATGAGTTAATTGGATTCTTCACATGTATTAACTTGCATCAATTAACTCATATTCTAGAACAGTAATGTGATCCAGAATAAACACCAAGCTTAAATTTGGGAACATAGAAAATTGTTCACGTAGTCAACCAAAGTTATTAGAGGGGTTCGATCAATATGGCCTTCAATGTTAAAAATTTTGCTCTCCCAAATGTCTTAGGTGGAGCAAAATTATTCTCACATATTACCTATGGGAATGGTATTCCTCAACAACATTGGTAGAGGCATAGACAAGTGCATAACTAATGATCTATTCCGTAGAAAATGGAAGTAAATGCTGAAGGGTTGGGGTTCGAAAGTACTATCACGTATTCTTGAAGTTTTGGGCACTAGGTGCCAAGGAATCACACTTCTAATTGTAATGCCTCCCTTTGGTAGGCTCTGATTCTACCTTATGTTGTAAAACAAACTTGAAAATAAGTGTGAGAGAAAGAGACATACCTTGGCTTGGGTTTGGAATGTTCCAACTGAAGTTGGAGGGGTTGTTCGATACATTTTGCTGAAGCATAACATGTCATTCGGTAGGCCTCTACCGAAGCAGAACATGCCTTTCGGTGAATCCCTCCTGAACTAGGATACCACCATTCAATATAGTCTAGCTGAACTGGTTCTATACTATTCAGTACTTCCCAGCCGAATCACTAGGTACCTTTCTCTCACAGTTGTGACAGTGGTCAGATCCGAGAATTTGGTAAACTTCTGCTTTCTACACTACTGCTTCTAGAGCAAGTTAGAGACATGGAAGGACGAGAAAAACTTCTCCATTCAAAATTCAACCGGATTCTATAAATTTTGGAATTGTACCTATTCATGAATGTAAAGGTTTCAATCATGTCTTGCTTCAGGCAAGAAATCATATTTTCATGATTGTAACGATTTATAGGAGCGAATGAAAGAGTCATGAAATCCTCGTTAGTAAGGTCGCGTTTGGTACGCGGGACGGGACGGAACAGAGTGGGACGAAGCGTTCCGTCCCACGTTTGGTACGCTTAAAATGAGTGGAACGCGCTGTTCCACGGAACAAGTTTTGGATGATTTTTTGTTCCACCTCCCCCCTGGAATGGGTTGTTCCATGTCCGTGGGACAGAAATTTCCAATATTTTTAGACAAAAATGCCCCTGGTCTTTTTCAAAATTTACAACATCAAAATCAAATAACAAACCCTAAAAACTATTTCTCTTCTTCTCAGCCATTTCTCTTCACCTCTGCATCCCTCTCCCCTTCGCAACCTTCCTGCTCATCTTCTTCTGTGCAGCCTCGCAACCTTCCTCCTCGTCCTCTTCCGTGTAGCACCTCTGCCAACTTGTTGGTCCTCAGGTATATCTCTTTCTCTCTCTCCTCTGTATTTTTGGGTAACTTGAATGTTTGAATTGGTGATCACAAAATCAAGATTTGTTTGTCAGTTACAGTATTAATAAGTGCCTGACTTCATTTGTAAACTATTTCTGTTTACAATAAATATGGATTGGTAATTATTGGATTTAAATGGATTCGTAGTTTTTGATGAGAGGAGTTGTTGAGGTTGTGTGAAGGTTTGTTTTTTTGGGTTTTATGCTGCAGGGGGTTACAACACACAGAGAGGAGGAGAGGAAACATTAGTTTAGATTGTGATTTAAATTTTTTTTTTATATGTTCTTGGTGATATAAACTGTGTGAGTACAGTTGTTTTAAAATTATTTGCATGTGCTTTTTTATAGTTTTGCTTTTTTCCAGTTTGGATTAAAATGGATTTTGAATTTTTGAGAAGAAATTAAAAGGGTCGTTGGAATTTTGGAAGCCTTTGTGTTTTTGGTGAACACGCAGACAATCTTGAAAATTTGTGTTAAAAGACTAATGTTTGTATATAAAAATTGCAGCCATGTGGTAAAGAACAATGGTTCATTAAAGCTAAATGTCAATGGACTAATCCATGTGTTGATTGTGTGGAAAGGCACAAATTTTTTTGACATGTTTGGGTTTCATCTCATGTGGATTATTGGAAAAACAAAATGGTATTGCTCTGACAGATTGTTGGTCGCTTACAGGTCTGAAGACTAATATTATGAATCGTGATTCTAAATCAGCTTATCCTTAGTTCACAAATACCAAGATCGTTATTTATTTGTGAGTACATGTGATTTATGAATTGACATTGTCCCTGGGTTTTTTGTACTATTTAAATTTCTATAATTAGTTTGGTGTTTTCATTTCTTTGCTTATTTGATTTTCTATTGGACCGCATGGATTAGGCTGCTTTAGGTTTGATTTGAAAGAAAATCAGAAGAAAAAAAAAAGAAAGATGAAGGGCGGTGATGTAGAATGGTTAAATTGCAATTTCAGTTTTACATACTTAAAGATGAAAGGCTGGTACTTTTGTAACGGTTGCCTCCAAGATGAGGGAACAGATTCCTGACATTAATATAGAGCCGAAGCATATACAAATCAAATTGAAGCATTTGAAAGAAAAGTATTTGTCTGCATATGACATGATGAATACATCTGGATTTGGTTGGGATGATGAGAAAAAATGTGTTGTTGTGGATAGTGACGAAATACTACAGGAGTGGGTGAAGGTAAATTTTTTTTCTTATTCTTTATCAATTAGTTGCTTTGAAAGTCTTAACCTTGATTTCTTTGGGTTCTTATTATAGAAACATCCCAATGCATCTTGCAAACCAAATAAGCCATTCCCGTTGTATCCACGGCTATGTACGGTGTTTAGGAGAGACCGAGCCACGGGTAGCATTGCTGAATCAGCAACAGATGCAATTGAAAATATGGGTTTGGAAAGTGAGGATTGTGAGACTTCTGAGATGCCTCCGCTTTCACCTACCCCATCTCCTTCTGTTGCTACATCTAGTGCTTCTCAACCTGTTAGGAAGAGGAAGAGGAGCAGGAATGATGGTGATGCAAATATTGTATCTGTTATCAGTGAAGGTTGGAATAAAGCTGTTACTGAAATGAAGAAATTAGGTGAAAGTTTTACTTTTAGAGAAGCAAAAGCTAGACTACCTTCTGAGCTTCAGGCCATAGGTCTCCCATACGATCAGGTGTTAAGAATTTCAATGAAGTTAGTGAAAATACCGATCTAATGGGTATTTGGACCACCTTGGATGACTCACAGAAGCCAGATTTCATTAAAGTGTTTATGGAGAGCCTTTGCAGTTTTAGTATGGGTAACTTTATCAACTTCTAAGTGTTTTCATTATTACTTTAGCAAGACATTATTTGTTTTTTAAGTCAGGACGAATGTTTGATTTCCGATATTTCATGTTTAAGTTATGCATATTTCATTTTCTTTGTTTAAGTTCTAAATGTTTAAACCCTAAAATGTTTACGATATGCATGATCATTAAACTTATATATTTTTCAACATTTGTCATGTGCTCTTGGTTTGCCTTGTTCCTGCAATGGGGAATATTTAGAGGGGTGTCCTTCTAAACAAGGTCAATTCTAATGTTTGTAGAACCTAAACTCCCTGAACAACAACCCACAATTGAAAGGACCAAAATTAGGGACTAAAAATTGAATTGGGGTGTGAGTTTTGCAATTTGCACAATAAAATTTGATGGGTTTGTGGTGAAAATTCGAATGGAGGTGTAGAAAATGGGAAAAATTACAAATTTTAAAGGGGTTTGCATGTGAAACACAACATATACCTATTAAAATTTGGACCAAGAAAAACAAATAATGGATAATAGTGTTCAAATTTGAACAACTTATTAAAAAAAAAAAAAAAAAAAAAAAAAAAAAAAAAGAGTCCTGTCCCGTTCTGCCCATAAAATTGTACCAAACAACAGACGGAACATGGGTATTTTAGTCATTTTAATCTTTTGGTTCCGTTCCATCCATGTGCTACCAAACGCAGGATGGAACAACCGTCTTGTTCCGTCCTGCGCGTACCAAACATAACACAGAACATCTGTTCCGTCCCGTTTTGTCCCGTCTCGTCCCATCCTGTCTGCGTACCAAACGCTACCTAAGGTACTTCCATTTGAAATGCTTCATCATAAATCTTCGAATGAAGATCATTGTGGATGCTTATTTAGCTCTTTCACGCCATTATTGGCTTCATTGATTTTGCAAATTTACGTAGTCAAGTGGAGCTTCACATCTTGTATCCACATAAAATAGTTTATGTTATAAATTTCCAAGTCAGTGTATTGACCTTGTTACAATTTGACAATTCACGTAATGGAGGGAACAAGATTGTGATTTGTGCTCTAGGAACTAAAATCTCTATAAGCATCAAAGTTAGTACATTTAGGTTCTAACACATTATTTGGTTTAAACAGATTAATTGTGGAGAACTTTGGGTCTCAACATGAGTGGTGCATGTTTGGAAACTTCAGGCTTTTATGACACCTCTTTGAAACTTCAGGTTCGAGAGTGCGAACTTCAGGTTCATAATACCTACAACCAAACACAATATATAAAGCAATTGAAAACAAATATAATGACAGTGGATAGCTTCGGGACCCTTTGTGTAAAAGTTTAGGGAACGTATCTAAAAAATATGGAGCTTCAGATCAAAAAATAAATTATTATTTTAATTGGCTAGGCTGCAGGCTAACTCGTGGAAATAGGCAATTATTTCTTGGGGGCTAAAATAAATAATGCCGAAGAAAAAACAGACAAAGATCAATTCAAAATTGGATGGGCTGTCTGATTTAGGCCTAAAAACATGGCCAAAAAAATATTGGGGCTATTGGCCCAAAATTTTTATTTGGACTGATAGTCCAATAAAGAGAAAACAGATCGAAAAGGATACGACATATAGAGAAGGAGAGAGATCAAGAATAAGTGTGTTCTTCTCCATACCTTGTGCCTTTATTTATAGTAAATCAATGAGGCTTACATGCTTTCCAAGTAATACAATCCTAAAAGGAAAATGATCTTTTAGTATCCTAAATACAATCTACTAATGATTTACACAATTACACATGTGCTAGAATCACATTCACAATAATATATTTATTATATTGTATATGACCCATTTTTTAGACTTCTCCAAAACATATATATGGTTGTATTAAAAAAAAGAGTCAAAACTTTCCCTAGGCTACAATCATATAGGATGCATTAATCCATAAATATATATAGAGAGGTTCTATTTGTTTCTTCCCCAAAACTTCCCTTGGGCTATAGCCCACCTTAGCCCTCCTAGTAGTTCCCAATGATTGTGTGAGAAGTTTACTATGTATGGCGTGTGAGTTTGCATCCTATAACTGTTTGGATTCAGATGTTGTGTGTTTCTGAATGACTGGCCTTGTAGGAACCTAATCAAGATCTGCTATTCATTGCAATTGCATATCATAGCAGTTTATCAAATTGTTCCACTCTATATTTTGTAGTACAGTAACGAGTCAAAGTGTGACTAAGTTTGTAGTTCAAGTTTTGTCACACTGTGACTAGTTACAACACTACAAATATAGAGAGTGAAACAACTTTATATACTGCTAAGATGTGCAAATGAAAATATAATACAAGATCTATGACTAAGTTTCTTCCACTAAACTCCCCTTCTTACAAAATCCTAACAGAAGAATCAAATTGATTTGGGACAATCAATTTCAAAGGCGACATTGATTGATGAGAGAAAAAAAAAAATGAAGAATTATGTCAATATCAAGGATCATTTGTGACAAAAATCCTAATATTAAACAACTCAAACTACAAATGTAATACAAGATAGGAATACTGAAAAACTGCATGCTAAAAGGTTAATTGTACTTTTTCTTCCTTACCTTGCAAGCCCCTAATATATATATTACCGTTACGCGCATGTGCCAGCTGCTTGCTGGTATATTTTCCAGTCTAAAGTGAGAAACATCATTCGATCACTCTCTCCTTTTACAATCCTGAAGCAATTTGTCTCTCTCACATCCTCATCACGCACAGGCCCAGGGGAGAAGAGAAATCGTCGATGATGAAACGACAGGATACTAGTCTGCGGTCAGCATCTTCGCGCCGTGAAAATTGTCCGACAGAAAATCTCAACGCCAAGACCGTCGGCTGCATGTCCGGCATCTTCCACCTTTTCTCTAAACACCACTCTTCCCGCAAATTCCTCACTTTTGGTCTCTTTCTTTACTATTTCATTTCTTCTGTATCTATATATTTTGTACATCTATCTCTCCCTTTTGCTGTCCATTGATTAATATTTTGTTAAATTATATTTTCAGGGAAAAGGCAAGAGAGGAATGGGGTTGGTTCCTCTTCTACAAGATCAAAATCCTCGATAGCACTAATCAAAGGTTCCGCACCCGCCAAACTAGCTGAAACCAAACATGAAGACAAGTCCATTTATATTGGGAGATTCTCAAGCAATAACGTGCCAAGAAGCCCGACCCTGCCAGCAGAGATCCGGCGGTTTAGCTCCCTGGATTCGCCCGCTGAGAACTCCAGAACCCCACCTGCTCTAGTTGCTCGGCTGATGGGGTTGGAGCAGGCTCCGCAGATAATGTCAAAGATGCCAATGCAGGAGTCCATGTCCATCAACAAGAGGCAGCAGCTTCTGGGAGCACTGGAGAAATGTGATGAAGATTTGAAGGCCCTAAAGAAGATCATAGACAGTGTCCGGGCTGCTGAAACTCTCCGATCACCCACCATGGTGAAGAGAATGGAGGCCGCCGTTGATGACAATAAGAAACGGTTCTATGGTGCAAATTTTAAGTGTATGGAGCTTACTAGTGAGCAGCCGAGTCCGGTGTCTGTGCTTGACGAGTTCGCTCACTCGCCTTTCAGCAACCACCACCACTACAGAAAACAAGTATTAAATTACGGTAAGCACCATGTTTACTCTTTTCTTCCTTACGACAACTTTTTCTTTACCTTTTGCTTTTACTTCGTATAATATACTTACATTTTGGATAATGTTTGTGTTACTTGTAGAGAACTTACTTGTTTCTCCACGTACGATTTACTTATCTTCACCGTACAAGCATTATAATTGGAATTGTTCATTCTCTATTATTATCTAAGATCCTATCTGCAAAAATAATTCAATTTGGATATTTAGTCATCCATACATGTTAAACCAATCAACAATTTAGGTTATGAGTAGCATCTTCATGATAAACTATCAATTTGTTTGATGTATATGAATGGTTAAAAGATCTCCAAATTGAATAATTTTTTTTTTTTGCATAAATGGTCTTTACACAATGATTAAGTGAATGAATGATTTTGATTATGATCTTCGTATGGTAAAGATGTGTAAATCGCAAGTGAAGGGACAAGTAGGTTCCTTGTGGAAAAAACACAAGCATTATTCTTAAAATTTTAATCTTAACCTTGTATATTAGTTGAGTCATTCATCAGCTTCTCAGTCTTTTATTAGTTATCTTTCTTAATTTTTTTTCTGCATATCTCAATACCTAGCGTTTAAAGTGTAGGACAATACTTCCCTCAGTTTGGGGAAGAGAAAGTCCTCATTTATATTCAATAGTAGAAAAGTAAAACTTATAAACACTTTTGGGAATTTAATTTCATCCGTGGTAAAGCATATCATTAATCCTAATTATGTAAATTAAGTAGAAACCAATAGAAGAATATCAATCGGCAGTTCAGAGATTGCATACCCTAACCCTAGTGGAGGGGACTCGATGCTTTTTTCGAGTAAAGTGAATGTTCCAATCTGCACCACCAAGACTTAGGAATTAGGATTCCAAGTGAATGCATCATGCACCATCATAATCATATGCATACTAGTGGGAGACAAACTAATTTCATCTCTCAATTGCTTACTATTTGCAATAATATTGAGTTGAATATTGTCAACTCAATATTATTGCAAATAGTAAAAGAATCCAACTAGAATTTTGGTCTGTTGACCAAGCACAATACAAAAATAAATAATATGGAATTTGTATAACTCTAAGAATTATAGTAATGTCTTTTAGTACTACAGTCTATATTTCTCTTCACTTGTAAGTGAGATTTTAGGTTTGATTCTCGCCAAAAGCGAATTTGAACCATATTATTACTAACCTATTGTGAGGCTTAACCCACTCCCCCACCCTCTTAATGTAGATAATGTCGTTTATTTAAAAAAAAAAAAAAAAAAAAAAAAAAAGAACTATGGTATAAATTAAGAAAGCTTAATTTGTATGGACCACAATTTTTTGAAATTCCTTCCTAATGTAGTCAAAGATGATCAAAAGCAAAAGGAGAGACGGACAAATTTACAGAAAGAAAGGAAGAAAAAGCCTAATGGCTTACCTGGAAAAACCCTTTTTTTTTTCTGTAGTGTGTGGGTTCCATGACCACTTTGTATGAACTAGTGTATGCTTCAAGTTTTGACCCCCTCTAACCAAACCAAAAGAAAAATAGAAAGAAAGAGAAAAGTGAATGCTTAAAGCTGCGTCTGGCAGCCTCAGCATAGCGTGAACTGCGCATGGGGACGGGCTGGTTGAGGCCATCATGCATTTTGTAACTAGCATATGCATTGTGTGTCTCCACATGGCGCAAGTAGCGCGAGCGGAAGGTTTTTTTTTATTTTTAAGGTTTTTTTTTATTTTTTATTTTAATAACGTGTGCTCTTTGTGCCTTAAATTTTTCGTTATGTAAACAATATACAATTTTATTCTTATTTGGATGTATAGGACGAGCAGCGGCACAACCTCAACTAAGGAAGAGACCAGGAGAAGAGGACTTTTTGAATCCAATTATGATTGACAGAATCACAACGGAATCAGTACTTTATAAGAGCCACAACGTAGAAGCACCATCGACACCATTGTGGAATAGCAAAGCCATGGTAGAGAGTGTAGCGGAAGTGTGCAGGGACATTGCTTGGGGAGAGAAGAGAGAGATTGGAAGAATAGGGCTGGCTTTGCAGGACCACATTTGCAAAGACTTGATTGAAGAGATGGTCAAAGATATGAAATCATATACTTGTGTGTATTCACTGCCCTTTGAGGTATGTAAGAGAAGACTACGCTTCTAATTAGTTTGTGTGTATTTTTCTAATATTTCGATTTCGTTATTGTGATTTTGATTCTAGAATTCCAAGAGTATAAGACGACCAATTAGTATTGAATTTATTATATTTGTCAATCATGAATTCTATTGTTTCTTACTCTCTTGAAGCCTTAAGATACAACTTTTATGTCATGAACTCTTAATAAGTTCTAATATACAAAATGCTTGAAAGTGCTTTTAAAATTGTAACATCTCACATCGTCCAGAGGAATGGATCTTATAAGCCTTATATGTATATTCTCATCTCTACTTAGTATAAAGCATTTTGGGAGCTCATTGGTTTCGAGTTCCGTAGGAACTCCGAAGTTAAGCGAGTTCGCGCGAGAGGAATTCTAGGATGGATGACCCACTGGGAAGTTCTCGTGTGAGTTCCCAGAAACAAAACCGTGAGGGTGTAGTCGGGGCCCAAAGCAAACAATATCGTGCTACAGTGGAGTTGAGTCTAGGATGTGGTGGGGGTCCGCTCCGGGATGTGACAAAAATGATTGAAATTTTTTTTTGGTGAAAGAGTTTTTGTATTCCAAGAACACTTGAAGTGCTTTTTAATAGAAACACCAGTTATATGTGTTTTTTAGGATTTAATTAATTACAATTTTACTAAAAATTATCTCAAAAATGCTTTCATAAAAAACGTTTTTATTCATTTTAAAAACACTTTCAAACACATAGTCGTACGGAAGGTTTGAAGGTGTTCATCAAAAAGGAAACAATATTGAGCTTAAGATCGGAGTTGGCAAACAAGGCAGTGCACTAACTTTTTCTGAAATACAAAAAAATACTTTTAAATTATTTAGGAAAAAGTTAAACTATTAGGACATATGAGAACAATCTTTTTGTTTTCTTTTCAAGTCTAAGAACAAGTTTGAGCTGATGCTGCGGTCATTTGCTCCATGGTATAATCCCATCATTGCACATGTTGGCCATAGTTCGACTGTATTTCATTCCATAATTTGAGAGTGCTCCATAATATTTCTCATAAGTTTTCACCTGCATGGAAGACGACCACATGAACTAGCATCAAAGAGCTAGTTTTAACTAGTTAGCAATATTTGGTCACAAAACTAGTTATCGGTGTTCACTTAAACAAATAGATCATGTAATTGAACTTGTAGTTCATGGATAGCAAAAAATAATTCAAAAAATTATGAAGTTGACATGTGAACTTTCATCTGTAATTGACAAGAATCTCCTTATTAAATTAGCAAGACCCCACATTTACTCCACGTGAAGTTCAACCTTTAAAAAGACCTGACCTGCCGACTACAACTGTAACAACCGTCCCCAATTAGTATGATTTTTATACTTTTAAAAGGAATTTACAAAAATGCCCTTCAAGGAAAAGTGTTGATTTTTGTTGACTACCGTGTTGTGTCACGTAAGGTTCATTTTCTTGGTGTATCTTTGTAGTACTCGTCGCTACAAATGCGTGGGCACAAACGGATCATGATTTGGAGTTATAACGAAGGAGATATTAACGTTTAAAGTCGGGGACATTTTAGTAAATTAATTATTTCCAGAAAGCTCTAGATTTTTGGAGCTTAATCTGGAGAGCCACGTGTGTGGCCCAGATTTAAAGACAGAATAGATGGGCGGTGGAGATGAAGTATAAAGGAGAGAAATGAGGGAGGAACCGAACCAATCAGGAAATGAGATATGAGAGGGTGACACATCAGAGAAGAGAGAAATGAGGGAATGGAAGGAGGAGAAGAATGAGGGGAACCGAACTGGTTCCCCCTTGACCCTACAAGCCTACTCGACCCGGTTAGTTTTTCCAGCGTAATTCATCAAATTTCCGATGAATTGAGAGAATCCACCCTCACCAATCATCATTACATTACTCCCTCTTCGATTTTCCACCTAAATTTGAGAGGGATTGGCCCTGTTTCCCGACGGACTTGTGTCGAGGGTGTCCCGAGCCACGGCAGTGGAATCCGTCGTTTCTGCAAGCCCTTTCGTCGACCACTACCATCCTCTAGCTCCTCTTGAGCCCAGTAACAAGACCCAAACAAGATTTGGGACGTCGAAGTACCAGAGAGGAAGAATCGAGGTTCACCCATTTTAGGAATCTTGTGGGTTTAGTGAAAATGGGGCTTTTCCCGGCCAAATTGGCCTTAGTCACAGGTATGGAAGTTGCTCTAATCACTGAGATCTTCATTTCTATAAAGTTCTAGAATTTTTAGAAATAGTTGAATTTTCCAGCCACCTGTGGCGATGCGTGTGGTGGCGGGTGGGCCGAGACATCTCCTGACCTTCCAAGGATAAATTTGAATACCTGATTCCATTGGCGAAGTCTGATTGATGAATTTCCGTCATTTCAACGTAGTTTCATTAAGGTCCGCCGCTTGATTATTATAGTAATCGACAATCCGACCGTTGGATCATCACCAAACTTTGATACGTTATAATACATAATATTTGAGGATGTTAGAAACTTATAGATCAGAAATCCGATGTGCGGATCTTCCCAAATAGGATATGTAAGTTATATGTTATATTGATAAGAATTCTAAGACATGATTTGATAATTGTTCTAGGCACCAATCGTTCATGATGCCTTGATGTTGTGCCAGGGAGTTGTAGCGCAGCCTCCAGGTGAGTGGGCTTTTGGTTTTCTATATATACGTATATATGTTTTTCATTTTCCCATAAATGGTTTTAAATGGAATTACGTTTTTAAGTGCCATGTCATGCTTGCATTTGATTTTATTATATGCATTGGTGTGTATATGCATACTATTGTTTGACGCTGCAGAGGTCAGGTAAGTTTCAGGTTAGTACTGTATGATGTTAGTGGTTGCATTGGTTATGGTTATACGTAGAAGCATGTAGAGCTCATTATCCTGCACCTTGGTTTTAGTGCTCCTGCCTGTGGCCAGGGCATAGTCATTCACCTGATGTTCACCCCTCGCACCGCACGCTCACCTTGGATCCAAGTTTGGTGTACAACCTTATCGTACAGACCACAATAGGTGGTTCCGACTCGTAGGTGACCCGCGATTATTCATACAGCCTTCACGTGATCGTAGCACTGGAGCGTACTTATTTACACACAACCCTGTCGTACAGACCACAATAGGTGGTTCCGACTCGTGTGCAGGCATATTTAATGAGCTCTAGGTTCAGCCGTACATGTCACGTTAGGTGACTCTGGCTGACATATCATTTTACATTGATTTATTTCACCTGACTTTACTTATTTCATTTCTGAGATACTTGACATGGCATATACTTGGTTTTCACTACTCTCGAGCATGATTTCCATATACATATGTATTATTATTTTCTGGAAAATTATACGGCGTTTACAGTGTGGGGTTATAACATTTTCAAAAGGTTTTTATTAAAAACTTTATCTTCAGGCCCACTCACCCTTATTTTTGCTCCCCTCCATGTTTTAGCTATTGAAAGTTCGTATCGACGAGGATTTGTGGCTAATCTCAATATAGGTGGCTACCTCTGAGGGTATCATCCTTACCCACACTATTGTACTTTACTTGTTCTCTGACGTCACGTGTGAAATGGGTTCATTCCCACTCACAGTGCACTCTTATCTTTGGGCACTTTATGTTTAAATTTATTCACATTTTCCACATCACTATACTTTATGGCTTTGTCATCTTCCAGGTGTCGACTAGCACAACTCGATTCGGAGTCCTAGTGGACATTCCAGGTTGGGGTGTGTCAGTTTGGTATTAGAGCATGAATTGGTTAGTATTGTGTTCATCACACGCGTGATGTCAACATTTTCGGTTCTTGAACATAATTTTCGAATTTTGCCACCTTGTCGAATACGAAAAATGTGTTAGCTTTTCCTAAGTTTTTGCTAGTTTTGTCGACTTGTCGACGTCTTAAAAGAGCACTTGGGTGAATGCCCTTAGACTTAAAGCAAAGAAATTCCCTACCAAGGAAAGATGTAGACTTGAGGCAAGTTGATGGTCTAAAGCAGGGCTAATGTATTGGTAATTGTGTATTATTAGAAACTTTGCCAACCAATTCCATCCTTATCCTCCAGCCATCATTATTAAACCTTTCAAGGTCGGAAATCTGAAATAGTTTTGATTTCTTGACAGTATCCGTTAGAATACCACCTATTTGAATTCTTGCGAAGTCTACTTTTGTCAAGACTTTAGAAATGTCTCATGTGACGATGGTACTAGAGTGGTAGCACTCGACGGAAGAACATCTTGGAAAAAATCACTTTTGGTCCCTGATAGCTCTAATACTTTTGTGATATTACTTTTTGATCATAAAGAAACCTTGTTAGCTCAATTTCACCTCTTGGTATTAAAGATATTTTAGTTGATTCTGAATCACTTGTCTATTTCCCATATCATGTATGATGTTGTTAAATTGCCTAGGAGGATCACTTAGACTTCAAAACTTTCAGTCTAGACCATTAGTCCTTAAATCACCCAATCAGCATTCTGTCAAGCAAATCGTCACCTTTGGTGATTTATTATTCCTGGACCTAGTGCTGTAACAAACTATTGTGAATTTTGAGTCAAGGAAAATTTTAAGTTTCTGTCCATTAACCCTCCTTAAACTATTGTTCAAGATGAGTTATCTTCCAAACCCTTCATTGCTAGCGCATGATCAAGTTAAATATTTACACGTGTTCAAACATCGAAACTGTATATTCAATCCAAATATCTTGTACTTTAGATTTCATGGACTTGTTTTGACCCTCAAATTCTTGAGTATTCATTTAGCCTTTTAGACATAGGTTCTCGCTCAATCAGTGAGGAATTCACGATAGGTCGACTTGGCAAATGTGTGCGCCAGTTTCATATCGATGCTAGCAGGAACTATTAGAGTATAACTTCTTGCGAGTTTACCAGATTTACCAAGAAGAATTCCAAGCAGTTTTGAGGATTAAATAGTAATTCAATATGATATTGGTCAAGGTATGAGCATAGGTTATGAGCTTGGTGGTTATGACGTTAATTTTCTAAGTGTGGCTTGGAACTGCAATTGCCATTTGAAGAATGTCGTCAGAGATGTGGTTTATCTAATTTAAGCATGCAGATCTTATACCCTTCGATTTGGAGACCAACTCTAGTGATTAGCCACGAATG